AGTATTCTACTATATATATACTATACTCTTAGTATAATTATAAAGAAAGAAGAGTATAGGCTTACTTTTTTTAGTAGAAATAGTAATAGTAGTAAGTTCTTTATTCTAGCTTATAGAAAGTATATTAAGAAACTTAGTGCTACTAAGCTAGAGGCTAGTCTTAATAGTAGGCTTATAGAGTATAGTACCTAGCTAGTTCTTCTACTACTATTCTATAAATATATTAGTAGATATAAACTACGTAGTAAGATAATAAGCAGCGTTATTTCTATCTAGTAGAAGTTTAATATAAGCTAAGGTAGCAGGCGTAATAGGTAACCTAGAGTTAGAGGCACTACTAGATTAACGCGTGTTATTCTTGCGTAATAAAAGAGAGAGAAGAACCTTAAAGTAGCGTAATAGATTTAGGCTATTAACTTTGCTTAGAATACTTTAGAAGTAACGCTAAGCGTAAGTATCTTAAATAACTATTTAGAAGTTAGACACTATAGTAGAGTTAACGCTAAAACTTATCTAGTATTAAGAGCGTAGATAATTCTTTATATTATAGTCTCTACTCTTCTTAGAGTAGATATAGGTAGAATTAGAATAGATAGTATACGCTAGCGCTAGATATATAGAGAGATACTAAATAGAGTTAAGAGAAAAGCTATCTAGCTTTATAAAGAAGAAATCTATATAGTCTTTCTTAAAGCTAGATATATAAATAAGGTTTAGTGCCTTCTACTATATAATAGCGTAATTCTTAGATTAGACATTTTTAAAATAATACCTCTAAAGATACTTCTTAATAGCTTTAGAGAGTATAATACACTAGTGCGTTAGGTAAATAATAAGCCTATTAGTTATATTAATTTAGAAGATATAGTTAAGAAAAGATATACTAATAGATAGATATAGGTAAGAATATAGTAGTAGATTAAGATAAAATAAAATAGAGAAAGAAAAAAGGCCTAAAAAGAGTTTTTATTCTTATATATTTCTAAATCTATAGACTAAATAGGCGCGCGAAAGTAGTATTTAGACTAAAGAGACCTACTACTACGTTACGCTAAATAAAAATAGCCTACATCTCTATCTTTATTTAAAGCTTCTAGAGTTTAAAGTAAAGATAGTAAAAACTACGTAATAGTAACTAAAAGACTAGAAATTACACCTAACGTGCTCTAGAAGAATAAAAACATAAGTAAAGTAGTGTAAGAGACCTACTAATACGTAGAACTAAACAACGCAGTCTATTATATTCTTCTAGATATAGTAGAGAGTATATAGTTATTTATTACGTATACGCTAGAGAATACTATATAGTAGCTCTATTAGCGCGTTGTAAAAAAGCGCTTAGTGTAGTTTATTAACTACGCTTATAATAACCTATAGTTAAATAAAGACGCCTTATCTAATAAGAAAGAGTTAGATTAGCTATTAAAGTAAATAAGAAAGAAAATAATAATAAAGTAGGTTAATTAATAATTAAAGAAATAGTTAAACTACGCGCTAGTAGAAACTATTACTAGTACGCAAGACTTAGTAGTAGTATAATAGAATAAGATTATATATTTAAACTATAAGATTAAGTACTATAACTTTATAAGATAGTTAGAGAAGATTAGCGTAAGTAAGGTAGCTAAAATAATAAACTATATAAAGATAGTTATAATAGTAGAAAGTTTAAAAGAATAGAGAGTAGTGTTAGAAATATAAAGAGAGGTAGCTAGAAGTAGAAAATAACTATTTACAACTACAAATACTATAGTGCTAGCTCTAGTATATAGAGTAGAGCTATAAATAATATAGAGAATAGATGTTATTTCTAATTTATAGACTAGTAAGCTTATTCTTTTATAGTAAGAAAGTAGGCGTTCTAAGAGAGCGCTGTCTACTAGTAAGATACAGAGTTTTTATACGCTGCTAGTAACTATACGTTGTAGCAAAACTATAGGAATTATAGGTAATATATAGTATTAATAGGTAATATCTACTCTTTACTTAGAATATAAATAGCTAGAGAATATTCTAAGAAGATAGAAGAAGCTTATAAGCATAAGAGAGCAGAGCGTAGTAATAGTTACTAGAGAATAACTCTTCTATAAGATTAGTAGCAACGTAGATAAGAAGTTAATATAGATTAAGTATATAGCTAAGTATTATAACTAGAACTAGTACTTAGAATATAAAAAGCGTTAGTAGATACTAAAGTAAAAGTTTAGTTCTAGCATCTTTACACTACTACTAAAAGCGTCTATTCTAAATTTATTTATAGAGTAGAAGCTAATTCTAAGACTAGAAAACTAGATAGAGATAGTTACCTAATATAATAATAATATTAGTAGTCTTTATAAAGTAGTAGAACTATTACTTATAAGCTATATACAAAAAGAACTTTCTTCTAAGTAGCTATTTCTTAAGATAATCTATAAAAGTAACCTAGAAAACTATTTAGTAGAGTTACTAATAGAGCTAGTAGAGAATAGGTTGTAGTCTTTTTAAATAGTAGAGATACGTAATTTAGATAATTATAGAAGCGTAGATAGTATAGACGTAGCTAGTAATAGTAATAAAGGTAGAGAGTAGAGTATAGATAGAGACTAAAGAAGGTAACTACGTAATAAAAAGTGCTCTACAATATAACGTTGCACGTAATATACACTACGTAAAGTAGACTTAAAAATATAATATATATAGAGAATAAGAAGTAATAGGCTATAACGTAGGTACTATTATTAGAACTAGTATAGCGTAGTTAATAGAGTGCTATATAAGCTAGCGCTGTAAAATAAACTATAGAAGTTATAGGCTAAAGAATATAGATAGATAATACTAATAAGACTAGTGTTACTAGTAATAATATATTATAGTATACAGAACTATAGAAGTAGAATAGACCTAACTTAGACTCTAAGCTTTTATTTAAGTAGATAGATTAGGCTATCTAAGTCTAGAGTTATCTAAGACAAAAGATAATAGATATAAGATAGCTACCTTATATATCTCTAGAATAGAATAGACTATGCGTAATGTTATACACCTAGCTTCTTAGGTAGAAGAGAGATTTACTATATTATATAGAAGAAAACCTATACGTAATAAGCCTTTTGCTAGTGCCTTTTTAGGTAGACTATTAGATTATTAGTTACTATTACGTTCTTTGTTACGCAGCGTAGCTATACCTTAGACACCTTTTACTTAGATATAGTAGCTTTTTAATACAGCCTTTTAATATAGCCTTTTAGTATAGTCTTTTAGTATATTCTACCTATCTTTTACTAGAACGTAGAAGCCTTTTACTAGAGCCTTACGCTATATAGTATTATTTAGAGCCTTTTTATAGCTTATTATAATATTATTATATAGCCTAACACTGTAATTTAGAAGCCTTTTACTAGTAGAGTAGAGCCTTTTACTATACGCTATACTATTTTAGGTCTAGTGTAGAATAAACGCTTTAACTAGTTTTTACAGCCTTTAGGTATAGAAGTTAGAATTCTAATATAGTTAGCTATTTAGTGTAATTTATAACTATAAGCTAAAATAAGTAGTTATTAAGAACGCGCTAAAAGAATTATATATTTATTACTTTTTTTACTTATTAGTACTTACTACTTTAAACTATAATTTACGCTATATATTCTACTTAAAGAAACTAGTAGATAGTTAAAGAATATACTTAATTCTAGATTAATATTTTATAAATATAAGAAAAAGAAAATAGCTTATATATATAAAGATAATATAAATTTAGTAGTAGAATAATAGCTTTAGTATAAAGAATATAGTTCTATACTACTAGTTAATCTTTATAAGTATATAGAATATATTATTCTTAGTATAGAGTAAAAAGAGCTATAAGTATAAAGTACTATTTTTAGTAGCTAGATATTTATAAAATAAAGATATTTATACTTATATTAGTATAGATAGATTATCTTATAATATAGATAATATATAGTTTAATAAATAAACTAAAAAGAAAATTATTTAGACTTAAAATAAAATCTATATACTTTATAGTAGAATATAAAAAGCTATAGCTCTAGAAGCTATAATATAGTAATAGAGTATTCTAGTGTTATATATAATATTACTTTATATATAATAGAGTTAACTCTAATAGAAAGCTAAAGAGAAAAATATAGTATAGTAATTAGTTATCTAATTAGATTATATAATTAGAAGAAGAATAAGTACTCTAATAGCTTTTTAAGATAAAAAAAGCTTTCTAAGATAAAAATACTATACTTATTACTTATTACTACTTACTTTACTTTTCTATTCTACTAATTATAGATTAAATATCTTCTATTTTTATCTAATATTTTATTACACTATAGTATTTATAATTATATAATTATAACTACTTTCTAACTTTAATACTAAAATTATAATTATTATAAGTAATTATAATATAACTTTATAAAGTAAAGTAAAAAGTTTAGATATAAATAGTTTTAAATATAGTATAGTATAATAAATATATTATAAGTTAAAACTATATTACTTATAAAATACTATATTATAGAAATAAAAAGTATTATAAATAGAGCTTTAAAGTTTCTTATCTAATACTATACTAAATCTAATTAAATAGAAATTATAGATTTAATCTATAAGACTTAGAGCTACTACTTTAGATTTACGTTTTACTTTTTATTAGTACTTATTACCTCTACTAAAAATTACTTAGACTTAGTAGCTCTAAGATATTCTCTTAGAAAGACTAGCTTTTACTAAAGAGTTATTAGTTTACTAATAGAAAAAAATTATTAAAGTAGTAATAAATAATAGAGTTTATCTTAATAGATTTAATTATATAGATTTTATCTACTTCTAAAGTGTATAACTAATATTCGCGTTATCGCGCAAAACTCAAGTCCTGCGGCTCTAGTACATCGTCTTAACCTTAAGACACCGTGGCGACTGTAACAATCTCTTGCGAACGCGTCGCGACTGTGTTGAACTCTCGCGAACGCGACGCGAACACAAACACTCCCCGACATACTTGCTTATCGCATAGGCATCGGGACAGGGTTGACGCAACCCTGCGAGGACGAGTTGTGCGAACCGGGGACGTTGAATGTCGTCGCGTACGGGTCCCAGGCAGGGTCCAGGTGCGGCGCATACTCAATCACGTTGAGCAGGTAGTTGAGCGGTTGTGCGCCGTAGAATCTGCTCAAGAGGGCGTATGTCGCATCGAGACCTTTGTCATGTCAGCAATCGCGCCGTCGACGCCTCCGCGATGCGGTCCTTCCGGTTGCACATACTAGACGCGGTTCCCGACGTAGTCCAGATAGTACCGTCCTCGACCCAGCGCGCTTGCGGCACCCACGTCACGTTCGGTCCGCGCTCCGTTATCCACGCCCACCCAGACTTGTTCGTTGTCGCCTTCTTGCCGTCGAGCACACCAGCGTTCGCAAGCGTCGCTACGCCGAAGCTTACGCCGACCAGGTACTCGAGCGAAGCGAGGCGCATCTTGACAAAGTCTGCCACCCCAGTGTCGTTGTTTTGGTCTAGGGTCACAACGCCGAGCCCACCGGGAACGAAGAGGATATCGAGCGCCGGCGCGTTCTTGAAGTTGTGGGTCGCTTCGATGCGAGGTGCGATGACGTGGCCGAAGTCGGTTGGCGGCATGCTGTAGTCGTCAGGGCCGTATGGTTGCATGCCAGCGGGCACGAGACCAGTCTCTTCGGCGATGATGGAGAGGGTCATCTTGTTGAAGGCCGAGAGCTACATGGACGCTGTCAGCGCTGAGACACGAGGACTGTGAGTATCGTTGGGTTCATACAATGGTCAGCATCTCCATGGGGCCAAAAACATCCAGGAGCTCAAACCCGGGAAAGATGACCTGGAAAAGGTAAGCGCATGAGGTCTATGACTTGCGAAGATATACGTACGAATCCGACGGAGAGGGTACGCATGGTGTTGAGCTCGGGTGTGAAGACGGGCGATGAGCTGTTTCCTGCTTGACACACCGCGGAGGGCAGCAAACAGGAGGCGAGCGCCACAACCTGTCCAAAGAATCTGAGATTCATGATGTATCGTGAGTCCTGCGAACGAGCTAAGACACAGTCGGCGTATGTGATGCTGAGTAACCTCCGATTCTTAACACTTGCTGAGCACGTAGCGAACAGGGTACTGCGAAAGAGTTCTTATATCCTTGCGCTCGCTGCGCACAGGCGTTTCGTCACTTTCCTACGTCTATTCTACAACAGCGCCATCTCCAGTCTCGCCCTAGCCGCCATGATCCTTTGAGTCTGGGCGGGCGCGGCAGACAAGCCGAAGAAAAAGAAGAGGAGACGGGACGAAGAATTCGCTCAATTGAAGCGAACGAGGGTAAGAACCTGCAGGAACTCCCTCGCCGGGCGTAAGAGAGTGCTCGTGCGGGAGGCTTACATTCAGCATCACGACAATGCTGCCTGCGCGGATTTGAGCACGTTTGCGGAACGTGAGCGAATATGTTTCCCGTGGCGTTCAGCCACAGCGATCTGTCATGCAGATCGCAAACATGTCAGCTCTGCCGTGAGAAACCTTAGAAGACGATCTCTACATTGTCGTGTCGAGGTGGAGGAGGTTGTGTATCGTAAATGTCCGGCGCCAAGGGCTCTGCCCAGGTTTGACAGCGGCCAAGCGAGCTGCCGCATGCCAACCAATCGAAGACTCACCACCTTCCCTTCTACTACAATAAAGTACCTTCGGCTTTGGGTGGTGTCGGGCTTGTGTTGTCAGTCAAGAAACTTCAAGCATTCACGCAATGCTGTTCATGGGTCAGAATATAACGGGTTCGCTCGTCGTTGAAGTTGACGAGATGCGCCACTCGCTTGCCAGGCGCGTAATCAGGAAGGGCTTCTCAGCTGAACATCGTGTTTTGGCCATGCTGGCAGCTGTCCTGCCCCGCCTTTCTCCTCTTCCTCGCTGAACTGCGAAATCATCCTGGACTTTGGGGCTCGTGGCAGCGGCACCTTGTATCGCATCACGAACGCATCGCTGTCGCGCGACAAACGCGCAGCGACACCCACTTTCGCGCGCCATTGTCACTCACTGGCCATGTACGGTGCTCCGCCTCCGCTCCCTCCCCGGCCTCAGCAGCCGGTGCCTCCACCATCAGGCTGGACCGAACACATGTTCTACACGAACGGATTGCCTACACCCGCGTTCGAAGCGTTGATGAAGCAGTTCTTCGCGAACCTTGATCCTAGAGGCACCGGATACATAACGCCAGAGGCGTTCTCGAGCTTCGCGGAGGTATCGCGCTGCCCGGACTCTGACAACATATGTGAGTGCTCCGCTGACTTTGGGTGAAGGGCGCTGTTGTACCTGCGTTGCGCGAGAGCGACTGCTGACTCTCCCGTGTTTTGACGGTAGGGAAGAGAAGTCTTACCCATGGCGGCATGTTCGCGAAAGAAGACATGGCAGACTATGAGTTCAAGAACGTGATGGAAGGCTTCTTCTTCGATCACAAGGTCGTGACGCGCAATCCGGGCGCGCCGCAGCTACCATACGGCGGTATGCCTCTGCTCAGCTTGGCCGGATTCACAGATTGGATTGGATTCAGTTGCGCGGCGCATCCCGACGGCATCTTTGTGGTCCCTGGGTTGAACAACGCGCTGCGGGTTTACAATGTCTGGCCGGAGCGTGGGCCCTTACCGCGATACGTCTTTCCTCCATGTCGACCAATCGAGGTACAGCAGCGCATGGATCAAGCGACACAGCGTTGCAATATGAACGCGCAGCAGAAGCTCAGAGCGACTCAGTTGGAGGCTGAGATTAAGGCGCAGGGCCGAGAGCATGCCATTGATCTGGTGAGTGATACGTATCGAGTCTATCGGTACTATTGAGATTGTAACGCGAGCGTGTGTGGTATGTTCTTCCCTTTGCCCTTCTCATTCTTCGTCCCGCAACTCAGTAGTTCCATAATGCCGTCGTATAGCAGATCAAATACATTCCTCCTTGTTGTACCCCAAGCCCTCGCATTCTCATCGAGTAGACGCAAGCTCCGACGGCGGTACATGTGGCGAAGGAAGTTCCTGCGACCAAGTCGGTGCACTGTTGTATGGCTTTGTGTCCCGGTCGACTGCGTGATGTGCCACCGCAACACCAGGTGGCTTCTCGTACTGCTGCGCTTCAGCTTCGGGTTGATAACTCATTCTCGCCTCCATGTCTTTCGTCTTGCGATGACGACGGTAGAACAGGAATGCCGCTGCTGCCACAAGTAACGCGCCCACCGCGACACCAGCACCGATACCAGCCTTTGCGCCAGTCGATGAGCCGCCGCTGCTATCTGCACCTGTTGTGGGAACATCGATAGGCCCTGTGGGTGTGGGTGTGGGTGTCGAAGGAGTCGACGGTACTGTACTAGCAGGGCTCGAGACCGCGGTCGTAGATGACATCGTCATTGGTATTTGCATTGGCGTTGGCGAAGACGATGACTCGCTGTTCAACGCTACGGTCGAAGACAAAGCGAATATCGATGCAGCTTGAGAAGAAGTGGCTGACGTAACGCCTATCGTCGCACCTCCGATATTACCGGCGCCCGCTTCTTCCATCGAAAGCACACACCCTGCGGGAAGAGACCAGTCATCGAATCGTCGGGACAGGTAGATTGGCGACCATGCTTCGGTTCCGTTCTGATTGATGACTATGCTGAAGCCTTCATTCCATGTTAGCGGAGCTGCGATGATAAGAGAGGCTGTGGTGGATCTCACTTTCTTCGTCCCCTGCTTCGATATCGCCTCGTTCGTAGCATTGGATCACGAGTGTGTTCGCAAAGGTCGACCACCAGTCTACCACCACTGAGTCATCGACATTGAGGACCACATGATGCTCCTCGCGCGGATAGTTGAAGGCGCCTGACATATCCGGACACTGTCGGTGACGCGAGCTATACGAAAGATAGAGATAGAGAAAGTGGGGAGTCAAACGGAACAACAGAAAGGTCGTTGTGCATAGGTGCTGCTACTGCTGCAGCTTTGTAGAAGCCAGCACTCTGCCTATCTCTACCTTGCATGTTCCTAGCTTTATTGCCAGTAGCTCTTTTGCAGCCTCGATCGATAGCGCGCGAATCCCGAGGCGAAGTGGCGTGAGGCTGAGAGCGCAGTGTAGCGAAACGGCCCCCATTTAGCACGCTAACTGATATGCAAGCAAGTTCCTTTTTCGCGATAACAAATGGAGAGGTACGCCATGTTGAAGCCACAAGGAGTCGGCATGCCTTATTCTGTCGTTGCCATTATGTGGAGTGGGTCCACGATAGAGCACGATGCGGAATATTATGCCGCAAGCCTGGGCACGCGGAGAGAAGTCGGGGCGGTGTCGCGCATCGTCAAGCTGGTAGACGCCGCTGATCTAGGGATCTGGAGTTCATCACATTGTGAGTCCAGGGAAATCGGCGCGAGGGTCATTTTGGACGTTTGTTGTTGAGGGGAGCTCAAGATTGCTTCTGTGAGGCTGAGCCGTAGCCGAAAACGCGGGTGGTGGCCACCTCACATGGGCTGCGCCATATACTTGGCATCATCGCCAATTGGCGGGTTTCGGAAGCACAGCGATCCAGACAAGGCTTCTGGGCCTCGCGCTCGAGCCTGGGTCTTTCTGAGGGGAACCTTGGGCACGCACGTTGCGGGGGTTGGGAAGTCGGAGATGATGGTTGAGCAGGGCTGCTGTCGCTTCGTGTGGGTCCAGACACACTTCTGAAGACGGGCAAGAGAAATCCCAGTCGAGTTGACTACACTTTCCGCTTCCGTTCTCCAGTCATGACCTTCAGAAATATGCAGGTGGGGCAATTGAAAGAGAGAGTATATAGTGATACTATAACCGCGAAACTAATCAAGATCTCTTGAGAGCGCGGCGCGCAACACTAGCACCGGTCTCGCCCCGAGCACACGCCTATGAGAGCTGTACCGGCGCCTGCGGCGAAGAATGAACATGCGACATCGTAGCCTCGCTGTACGACCTCTCGTATCCATTGCTTCCATGAGGCGCGACCGCAACACCCGGAGGCTTGTTGAACTGCTCCGCTTGAGATTGGTAGCTAAGTCGTGAGTTGAGGTCTTTCAGCTTGCGGTGGTTGCGATAGAACAGATAGGCAGCCGCCGCGACAAGCACTGCGGAAACACCAATGCCGGCGCCGATGCCGGCCTTTGCGCCTGTGGATAGACCAGCACTGTCGCTCGTGGTTGTGGTGACGACTGGATTGGTGGGCGTCACGGTTGGCGGTGCTGTAATGCCTGTGTTGACGGGGGTTGATGCAGTGCCCGAGGCGGACGCGCTTGTCGTGGTGCGCTCGTACGTGACGGTCGACGCTGAAGCGAAGATTGACGCGGGCTGAGTCGCAACGGAGGTTATGGTGACTGAAGCGGCAAAGACACTCGTGGTTCCACCTCTCTCATAGAACTTGATACCGCAAGAGACAGGATCGCTCCAATCTTTCACGTCCTGCTCCAGCATTGGCAGCGACAGATCTTGAGTGCCATTCTGCGGAATGTCGTACTCGTATACTAACATCTTGTCAGGTCAAACATTAACTTGGAGATATGTTGTGAGGGCCGCACTGTAACCTAGATCTGGGTTGTCGTCGGTCTCATAGCACCAGAACTGCAGTCGTTCGGCAAACGTTGACCACCACGACACCTCCACCTTGTCATTGACATTGACATAGAGTGGAACGACGGGATAGTAGAAGTCTCCAGACATGTTGGAGATGTTTTTGCGCGGCTCTTTCGGTACGAGGCAAAGTGTTGCGATCTAGAGCTGAAGCAGGCAGGACAAGTGGGCAGCCGTCAGCAAGTGCAGGAGGCATGCCTTTATAAAGACGCGCAACAAGCCTATATTCCATGTAACGTACGTCAAATGCAGCCTGGTCTGAGTGTTGCGAATCACGATGCGAAGTGGCGCATGGCTGTGGTATCCCACAGCGAAACGGCCCCCAATCGACGCACTCTTGATGCCCAAGAACAACTCTTTTCTTTCGCACAACCAATAGAATCATCGCCAGGCGCAATGACATGCTCATGCGACCTGTGATACAAGTCATCGTCGAGAAGCTGCGGGATGTGGGCTTCTCTATTGCGGTGTTATCGACTGGCGTACAGCCTGGTGCGGGAAAGAAACTTGCGAGCCTTGAACAAAGCCTAACAAGTTGCAGCATCGTCGCGCGTCTTGGAAGAGAGCGAACGTGGTGGAAGATGAGGTGTAGCGACTTGATAGGTTGCGCTCGATGCATCTTGTTGCTGAGATGGTTCGAGTCATTCGGGTTGGCAATAGGTGCACCAACACAGACAAGGCTGATGTCGGACCAGAAGGCTGAGCTACAGCAGAGGCACCGATTACCTTGCATGCGATGTACCGCTCGCTAGTCACCTTTTTCTATTGACGCATCACGCGCGTGAGAAGTAGCTGCGGCAGCTCAGACTAGCCTCAACCGACGTACGTTGAGCGTCCCGTTCTTCAGCTCGTCTGCAATCTCGCCATTCATTTGGCCATGTACAAAGCCCTCACCGACAACCTGCCACGCAGCTTGTGTCGCCACCTTCCGCAGGACAAGCGGGATGCTGCAACCGAACAGGATAGCCACGACATCGCCGGGTCTTGCGCGACACGGCGCCATCCCGACATAGCCTTGTTCGGTAACCATCAGCCGACGCGCCTTCTTTCGCACAGTATCGTGGAAGCGTGAGAGAAAGGTGTCAAGCTTGTCGTTCATTTGATGTACGGGATGCGACGGTGGCCGATGCAGTGTTGGGGCAGGTGAGGAAAATTTGGTGGGTATCTGTCGGACTATGTCTTCGAGCGACATGTTGTCGAGCATCACATGACGGTTGCGCTCAAACCATGTTGCAAAGCTCCAGTCGACGGGATCGCCATCAATACTGGCATGACAGGAGAAGAGGAAGTCGCTGATGTAGTGATCTGGCGCCTGGAAGCAAAGGTACTTGTCTCGGCGGTCGATGACCAAGGACCGCGCTATGGCCTCAAGCCACTCGGAAGGCTGCTTTGCGACTCGCCGAGCGCTCTGCTGGTCTTGCCGCGACTGCATCAGGTAATGACCAGCCTCGCGGCAGACGAAGCTCTCGCATCGCAATTCCCGCTCGTCAAGCCCGCCGAGCCCGTGAATGACGTCCAACACGACACCGTTGCAGTGGAGCTCCTTCAGGTCTGCGGCAAAGGTGACATCTGCCTGTTTTCTTAGTGTCTCTCCAGGAGCATCGTAAATGGCTTTCCAGCGGGTTGATCTGAGCGGTCTGAAGTTTCCAATGTGCTCACACGCACTTTGGCTTGCCATTAGCGGCACAGGCGAAGCGAAGTCGATTGTCGTCCTCCAGTCTGGAACCCAGGTAGGCACAAGATCTTCGACGCCGGGGTCGCTGACAGCGGCATTGGGACAGAATAGATGCGCAAAGCAGACGATATCCAAGGACCGATGGACGGTCCAGGAAGATCGAACAAGTCGTGCGAATTGGTGCGCGACGCTGGTGGTATATTCAGCGGGTCCGATAAGGTCTCGGTCTCGTTCAGTGATCAAACCTAACACGGAGTAAATGCGATCTCTACTGTCGGAGGCGGAGTGATTCCCCAGGTACGCCATGATAGCGATCAGATTGATACCGATTGAGGCTGGCTTAGTGTGCCATTGATGGATGCGGCGGCGATTGAAGGCTCCATCAAAGAGCTTCCGCGGAACAAGCTCGTGTTCGAAGTCTTTGCTGATGGTGCTGCAAAGGAAGATGCTGTAGATGGCACTTTTGAACCTCCCGCGGCTGATACTACCCACGCCGCAGTATAGTTTCGCCTCTTTTGGCAAGACAAACTCTTGTAACGTCCAGACCCTTGTCCACCATGGCCTGGCGAGCAAATTAGTGACGGCGACACACTTGTCGGTGAACTCGGAGTTCTGGAGCTTTTTACGCATGGCCTGGTCGTCTCCATTGAACCCAATCTGCAAGGTGGATAGGTAGTGCATGAAGTCGATGGCATCGGTGCAGTCGCTACCATCTTCTTTCTCCTCACCCAGCCATATTATTGCTCGCCTAGCTCTTTTGTAGATATCTGCCATAATGCGCACCTGTTTCTCGCGTTCGCTGGGATCATCCAAGTTGATGCACAGCGAGTCAATCCACCACCAGTCCGTGGCCCTGAAGTCGCCATGGCGAGTGACCATATGGATGAATGGTACGAGGCTGTGTAGGATGGGTAATCCACCAGTCTTTAGGTTGATCTTTGCACCTTTGTACTTGCGCTCGCCCCACACATAGCTGGCTGTGTAGTAATGAGGCGCGCTGGCAATGGGGAACTTCTGCAGCTTGCCAACGAAGACGCCATCTTCAGGCTGCGAGAAGCGGAGTAGACGAATAGAGCTCTCATCGGCGGGTTCCGAGAAGGGTGAGGCTCTGGCTGGCGGTCGCGCGTCAGCTTCCATAGGTGTGCATGCTGCGAGATCCGAGGTGGGACGGTGCGCATGACCGCGGAAGTGGCTGGATTGACGCCCCGCTTCAGCTCATTCTTGGCGGCTGCCCCAAGCCCCGCACCTCGAGAGCGGCGCAACGACATCGGAACAGCGGAACAGTGCACAATCCAGACTGGAGGCAGTACGGATTCAACCGGGCATCTTTCAACTACATACTGCCACTCTTACATGCCAAGCATCCCGGTCCAATCCCCGGTTTCCTCAACTTCCTGTAGCGCACTCCTACTGGGAACCCAACTCTGTGCCTTACTTCTATCATACCAGACCCTCAACACCCCATGTTCGGCCACCCAATCGAGACCATACATCTCCTGCATATACTTCACCTGGGCCATGACACAAATGTCCGCTAATGTGACGTGTGCGCCATCACCACTCAAGCTCTGGCTCTTGTTGCCAACCACGTCTCCTTGTATCCGAGCTTCCAACCGCGACAGAAGCATGTGAAGCTTGCCATGCGCATGCTTTGCCGCACTCTCACTCATCTCATCCTCCGTCAAGCCCGACCAGGACAACGTGTTCGGATCCGAATGTACAAGCGCAACGTTGCTCCAAGTGATGGCATCGGAGAGCAGACTCAAGATGTCTCTCGTCCGAGCTCGTTGTTGTATGGTTGCACCCCTTACGTCCAGATACCCATTGTCCACGCTGAAGACTTCTTCGAAGTACTCCATGATCGCATTCGACTCGTATATCCAGAAGACCGTGCCATCGGCATGTGTGATACGCAATGCCGGCACCGACGTTCCGGTAGGACGGGCTTCGAGGCCGGTGTGGGGGACGAGGTCTGGCGTCGGCGGATCTTTGTCAAGAAAGATGGGGATAAGATGTATGTTCTTCTCTTGAAGCATCAAAGACGTGATGTTCTTTGCGCGAAGGTAGTATACGATCCGGCGAGGGAACAGGCCCGTCGGCCAGATCCAGACGGTTGTGTCATGCTGCTGGTTCTGCGACGACATGTTAAGTTGGGAATGGTGAGGTTGTAGCGTGACCAGACTGATGCGCGCGTCGCATCTTTGGTCTGGCTTCGTGATGCGTATATATACATCCCTACGTGTACAGGATCGTCTGAAGGAACGGAAACTTTTCGTATACTTCTAGGAATCATGCCGACGTTGAGCAACCTCGAGGGCTGATTACTGTAATGTTTCCGAAGGTTTCCACCGCGACGCATCATCCCGGAGACTTGATCAACTCGCCGGGTGCTGGTGTAAAATGATGTCTTCCGAGCAAGGCCATCATAGTGTCCGAATTCTCGTCGGGTGATACCGCAACATGATAGGCAAATGCGAAAGTCTCACGGCCAGCATCGGAATGCGCACAGGTGGTGAATGGAGTACAGGAGGTGAGACGGCGTGCGGAAGCTCGGGCAATGGCGGTCGAACCCGTTACGCGCTAATCCTTGGCGGCCCTCATCACGCCCGCCCGCCCGCAGCAACACCAGCATCACAACACTCCATTGTGGTCAGGCAGATCGTATGTTCGACGCGCCCTCCTCTTCCTCATCCAGTGCTTCCTGAAGGCGCGCGATGCATCGAGCTTCATGTCAGCGGTCGCTTCATCATTCCTGCGCAATGTTCCTTATCGTGCCAATTCGATTTCTAATCCATTCGTGCTACATGTACACCAACATCCATGGATGATGTCATGGTCAGTAGGTGTATCGCTACTCTACACGTCTGCTCAAGCCCAATCACACATAAGCCAGCCCCTCCAAATCAATCTCCTCCCTCCTCCGTCTAAACCTCAGCGTATTCCCTTTACTCAGCGCCTCCGTCTCGCCAAACAAGAACCTCGATTCCAGATCCGTCCCCTCAGCCAACTCCCAATCGTACTTGAGCAGCAAATGGCACAGGGCAATCTTCATCTCATTCGCAGCGAAGAACCTGCCTGGGCAGCCCTGTGCGCCATGTCCAAATGACAGATTATTGGGACCGGTGGAAACGAGATGCGCTTGGCTGACTGTGGCGCGGTCGGTGCTGGTGCGCATGCGCTGGTAGCGGTATATGTCGTATCTGTGTGGATCGGGGTAGACATTGGGGTCTGACATGTTGAAGCCGTCGACGGCGATCTGCTCGCCTTTGTTGATGACGAGGCCGTCGGGGAGGACGACGGTGCGCCGTGCTTGACGACGCATTGTTACTGGAGCAGGGTCAGCTTGGAGTTCTTTTTCGGCTTCGACTGAACGACTTACGGAATGCAGCGGGTCTATACCGCTGCGACTCCTTCAACGCGCTATCCATTAACGTGAGATTTGCAAGCGCTGCCTTGGTCAGCCCGTCGGCTGTCAGTACCCTGACGATCTCCTCCCTTAATGCCGCAACGTAGTGTGGTTCGTTCCCCAGCAAGGTTATGGCATGCGTTAGCAGCTCACTGGTCGTATGTATCGCTACGAAAGATAGCGCAATTTGGAAGAGAGCTGGGTCGTACCCTGTCCCTCCGCTCTTCTGCTCGAACCAATCGATCATGTCGTTGAACACGGGTTCCGGTTTGCCGTTTCTTCTAGCTTCGGCTTTTAGAGCTCGACGCTCGGCGAGGAGAGGTGTGAGGATTGCGCGGCATGTGGCTCCATGTTTGAAGACGTTCTTCGCCTCAGAGGAGAACCAAGGAACGAGGAACTTGAGCGAGGATGGAAGGGCAGTCATTTTGAGAATCATGGTGAAGCTTGCTACCGTGTAGGCCTTGGAAGCTTCGAGCCACGCCGTGTTGCGGCACATGGTGTCGCCGAGAAAGACCCTGGTGGAGAGACGGGCGATCAGTTGGAGAATGCTGTCTGCTATAACGGTTTCTCTCCACTCTGCTAGGCGGTTAGCTCGCAAGTCTAATCACTCATTTGAGACGAATAGCGAAGTCATCTCACCCGTATCTTGGCCGAATATCACATCGAGAGCATGACTGGCTTCTTCCGAGAGAGGCTTTGTTAAGACATCTTGAATAGCTTCGTTAGCATCGTGTCATGCGCGTAGTTGTTTACTTCTCACTTAGGTATTTGGTAAGTTAGTCCTTCACAACGTTTTGTACAAGTCTTTGTTCGTGGAGCAAGACGGCATACATCTCGAAGCCGGAAACGTGTCCCGAGAAGTTCTTCTCTATTGCCTTTGCGAAGCTCAGATCTATGCTGTTACGAATTGTTGCCGCATACTTAGGAGGCAGAATAAGACATTCGCCCGTGTCAACAATTAACCTGTAGGGCTGCTTGCCGTAGCGTTTCCTCGCGTCGCTTAGTATGGCCCTTCCGTTCATAAGAAATTCAATCCGTTTTGAGAGGGTAGTCTGGTTCTATCGTGGAGGATTTGCTAGTGGATGTTTCGATTTTCCGCTGGTACTAACGACGATCGAGAGTACGACCACAACGCCCAGTAAGATAGCTGTGCTTGCTAAGAAAGTATGCGCAAGTGGCTCTAGGGGTAGTTCTAACGTAGCACATAGAACTCGTACTAGTCCCGGAATCGACATGTTAGATAGCATCTTGACTGCATAGATTGTGAACGCTTAGGCTGCCTAGTGCGTAAAAGGACGCGCATTCAGGAGACTTATACGGCAGTCTGCGTTCAAAGGCGCTAACAACTCACAGTCTTACGAACGCTAATCACGAAAGAAAAGTCTTTATCACGATAAGCTTAGTAGGCTCTTGTCCGGCAACGTCCTCAATTCTAAGCGTATCCGTGACTTCATTGCAGACTAGACCTCGTTGTGCGTCCACTTTCGACGCTGTAACAATCCACTTTAGACGCTGCATCAACCCACTATAGATACTGTATCGATTCAGTTTGGACGCTGTATTATCCTATTCTAGACGCTGTGTAAATCTACACATAAGTTGTTGTTCACGAGAGCGATAGCCTCTTGAATCCTACGACCTACTGTGAATAATGTATTAACCCACTGTAGACGTTGTATAAAGCCAGGTTGGACGGTATATTAACCTAATATGGACGCTATATGAACCCACTCATGAGTCGTAGTTCACGAGATCAATAGCCTCTTCGTTCGAACGAAACACTATGATTCTTAAGACTTTTGCTGAAAGCTGTATTGTGAGAATTTTACAGGCAGTGCGCAGTGTCTTCTGCTGTTCTGTTACGTTGAAGCAGACCAACTGCAGCCATCTGCAATTCCTACAACGCCTTCTAAGGTTGTGATGTAGACGTGAAGGATTCCTTGGATCGGCAAAATGGAAGGTCAGACGATGCCCCATCTGAGTCCTACGTCATGGACCAGGCCAGCAACCCCCCTTTTCTTTTGTCGTGGTCGCGAAATACCCCGAGAAGTATTCACCGTTGCGATAAAGGTGGAGCCGTAGTGGGGACCAGGAAACCGTAACATCAATTGCGGAACCTGGTTACTGATTTTAGCCAATAAGGTCGTAGAATATTTGAAATGCGCATAATTCATTTGCGATTGCCCTCGCGCTTCACAGAGGTTCGCAATCATTGTGGACTTTCCAGGACTCGCGTCGACAGAAACGTGTTGGAGGAGCGTAGCGCGGCGCTAGCACGCGAGTGCCACTTTTCTTATGACCCCACAACCCAAACACAGACACGCAGTCGCAGTAGGTGTCTTCTCTTTCTGATCTCGTGCGGGTCAGATACTGGAGAGTGGTTTCAGTCGTCCAATCGGCAACCGCACACGTCCCACTGTGGTATGAGCCGCAGGTTCAGGCATAGATGTCAACTCTGATCAAGGCATAAGTCAGAAAGATCATGTTGCATTAAGCCTATCGAAACAGCTATGAAAGCAGGACCCAAAGCAAGCACGATATTAGGCGGGCCTATAAACCCTGACAAATAGATACTCAACACAACACAGAATCACTTGTCCTCCTCGGCATTACATTCCTCGATTGGTCCTCATCGGCTCACAATCCCGGCTCATTCATCCCGCTCAGTACATTGGGTCGCCAACAGCCGTGATGGATGCGGTGCATACACCATTCTGGCAGTAACCGGCGGGTGTAAGCCAGCCCCAGAGTTCTAGCGCAAGGTCAGCGTTGAGTTACGACGTAAGGACAGATGAAGACCTACCAACAGACTCGCCGTTCTGGAAGATAGCGTTTGCCGCGCCAGAGATGGTCGCGGAACAGACTTGCGTACCACTGAGCTGATCGCAGGTGATGATGAAAGGAGCTGTCGCGCTCAACGGGGCACTGGCGGCACCATAGCAGCGTCCACCGTCGCACCACGCTGCCACACTGGTGTTGGTACCGTAGTTGTTGCCGTCAATGAGAAGGTTGTTGAGTGTACCAGCTACGGTGATGTTGCACTTGTATGATGAATCGCATGCACCCGACACTGTTATGCGAGTTAGTCGACTGATCGCTTCGAAAGCAAATTGCAAGTATGGATCACTTACTGAGACCATAGGCAGCACCAAGAACACCGGAGAAGGCTTTGTCGATCACGCCCGGCATCGCGGGAAGGTTGTCCAGCGTAAGCTTGCCTTGTCCTTGGACAGGAGCGGAGAAGGTAGACGGCAGAGCGGTGGAAGCTGTAGCTGGAGCGGAAGTGGGCGCCGCAGTGATGGTGGCTACCGATGAGGCCTTGACGGATGAAGCTCCCAGGCTAACGTCGACGGCCAACAAGGTCGAAGACGAGACCTTGACTCCCAAAAGAGGTGAGGAAGATCCACCGACATTGACACCGAGCAAAGGTGCGGTACCCGTAGTGGTGGCGGCTGCGCTGCTGGCCTTCGAAGTAATGACTGAGCTGGCAGCGCTGCTGACCTTCGAGACGATGGCAGAGCTGCTTGCCTTGGAGACAATAGCGGAGCTGCTAGCCTTCGAAACGACTGCTGCACTGCTAGACTTCGCAGTGACGACTGCAGCTGCGCTGCTGGTCTTCGAAGTGACGACTGCAACCGCACTGCTGGACTTGACGGCTGCTGCGCTGCTGGTTTTGAGAGCACTGGAGGTCTTCGCAGTGGTAGTAGCGCGTGCGTCGAGGACTGGCGCAGCTGCAGCCAAAGCGCTGAAGAAGGTGAGGGTAGCGAGAAGCTTCATGATGATTGATATGATGGACCGAAGTAGGGGTAGTGATCAAGGAAGCGAGAGATGCCAAGGAGGACAAGAGATCAAGAGCGAAGGTAAAGCTGTAAAGCTTGGAAAGCGAGAGCTGGATATGCTGAGGATGCCTTCTTCATGCAGCAGAACTGGTTGGTCTTTATGTCTTTCCAAACCGAAGCCCGTTGTCTTGGAGCATCCCCTTGACCAGCATCATTTGGATTTGTTCCATGGCAGGAGCTCGATCGATGTCGACGAACAATGCAAATTGCCGTCTCCTCCTCTGGTCTGGCCTTCACCATCGTGAACGTGCCCTGAATCTAGACTTTGGTATTGGAAACGGCCTCGAAGAACGCTTGGTGTATGCTATCGGGAGTGCGCGAGGCTGCCGGAGCTGGGTACCTGCTTTGTGTCAACTTTGATTGGTGCGGACCCGATCCGCTTCGCGCAATTCTCCTGAGTCGCAAGGTCTAAGCAATTCCAAGGTACGGGTGCCGTTCCGCTATAGGCTTGAGTGGAGTGCCACGATCTCGAGGCGGGCACTAGCGCGTTGCGCAAAGGGCGGGCCCGTCGACCTGGTTGCTTGATGATGCGATAAGGTGCCAAGCAGTCGATTTGCATTCCATCGGACACGGTCATTTTGCTCGAATGCCATCTAAGGTTTGACACTAGGCAGGCTAGCACTAGTTCCCGCAACCATAAGTGCTCGCCAGGGATGGTGCCCAACGCGGGGTTCGCTTTCAGGGTGCAACACCATCTCCATTGCTGATGATACCGATGTGCAAACAGGGTAAAGTCCCCTTCCCCACGATGCAGCCGTTGGATACGACGGAACGTCTTCATAGATGGAGTGGGTCTTTGATCGACACCTTGTCAGCGCTCTTCTTGTCTTGCTTGATACTTGAACTGCTCGACAACCATAGTCTCTCAACGATTGGTTGACTGACAAATACATATCGAAGTCGAAGCTGTCTGTTGACATGCAGCCTCTATCACAAAGCCATCAAGAATCTCGCTGCAGGCCTAGAGTAGACAAACTACGCCGCCGATATCATGTTCCTGCTCCGCGCAACGATAGCGCCGAGAATCGAATGCGCCTTTGGATGAGATTGGAGGTCGGGCTTGTTTCGTGCCAACCATCGAAGTTGTGATCAGGAGTGCGCGACGATAGCGCAAATAGTGTTGGATTGAAGCCTCGTTCTCGCCGGCATGACGGTATCCTAGATCGTCACCACTAGCGTAGCGAACCGTTTGATCGACTTCCCACGTTTGGATCGGCGCAGGGGTGACATTTTGGTAGCGATCGTGGAATTAGTATGGTGAGGAGCGGGACGACTGCCGTGCGGACGATTGGGATGGTGCGCGTGAGTAGCGCAATATCTGCACTATGTGAGTCCGGAGGCAGGTCCCGCCTTGCGGTATGCTTCGAAGGAGCTGGTACCTATCGTAGACGACTAGGGAATCGTTAGCAAGAGCCTGTTCGATCGCCGGTATTGAGTGTGAAAGATGGCGAGGAACCCGCTCAGGGTGTGCATCGTGTCGCTTCACTCAGATCGTTACTGTTCTCCAGCGGTCCAGATTCTGCTGTCGGCTTTCCGTTCCGAGGTCAGTGCACCTTGGCCAAAGCTTCACACACCTGTACTTTGTACACACCCAAGTGTAAGCTACCTCAACTCACAGACACAGTCGGCAACACCCGAGAGGCCTCAAATCGATTTTGCGTCAAAGCTCGGCATAACGTTATTTGAAAAGACCAGGTACTTGGGTTTGGTATGAGCGCGTGGCGCATGCAGGTTAACTATTAGCTTGCACGTACCACGAGTGTGTGCCTGAACCACTGCATCTCACACTTGCCTCAGCGACTTATCCTTGGCTTGACCAAACGTCGTTCTTCGGAGCTCTAGCCGGCGATGCACTGCGTGATAAAGCATGCCCTAGCCAAATCCTGGGGGACAACACACATGGATCGTTGTCCAGTATGCTTACTACGCTTGACGCAACAACCAGCCGGGTGTTCACGGCCCTCGGTGTGGACGAGTGGGTGACTTGTCGAGCACTTCGTGCCCGTACGCTGATAATAGTTCGGGGGCCGCTGGCTCGGCGGGAGACCTCTGCAGTCGAGGCGAAGCTCTTGTTTGAGCAATCTCGATGGCGAACCGTTGTTGGCGATCGTGGTATGAATGCGCTGCACACTCATGCTCAACGACCACGTCCTCTCCCCCTCCCTCTACCCCTGCCTCCTCTTCCTCTACCCCCACCCTTCCCTCTCGGCGCCGACCGCTCATAAATCTTAACCTCGTCGAACGGAGCATCCGCGATCCTCAGATAACTCGGTATGCCATTATCCACGACCGCCACTACCACATTCCTGCACCCATGCTTCAGTCTCTGGTTCGGGTGGCCCCCATCGCCCTTGGGTCTGTCTTCCGGCACCTGCGCCATGAGATCGTTCAGCTGTGCGCCCGTTGGTATAGGTGTCGAACGTGCGTCGACGACGCATATGCGGAAGTCGGGCGGCCCGCGGGCGGATTTCTTGAACCGGGCCGTGGTGCGGTAGACGTCGAAGTGGACGCGGTATGGGTTGTTTGACGAAGGCGGGAGCATGAAGGTGGGTGGGACGGAGCGGTCGTAGGTGGGTATAAGCTTGAGGAGGCGGTAGACGTCGTTGTAGCTTCGGTACAAGCCGGGCTTGATCAGTGGGCCAAAGGCAAGCTGCTCGGATGAGATGTGGTATGCGGGCTCACTCAGTCGCCGCCATAGATCGGAGAAGAAGCGTGTGACTATTCCTGGTCCCGTTTTGGTCGTCTCTTCTGTCTTAGGTGGGGCTAAGACGACGTCTCCTCTATCGTGGTCCCATGTTCCTGTTCTGAAGATGACGTAGCCCGATCTCTTTAGTCCTGCGTAGACGTTGTACATCTCCAGTGTCAACTTTCCACCGACGCCGCTCTCGAATCCGATGAAGGCGGCATATGCCGACTGTAAGCTCATTGGCGCGCCATCTTCAGTCCTGTATACTGTCTTGTCGCCCACCTCTCGTTTGACCGGCCACCGAACATCCAATGTCCCTCGCTCGAGTAAGAACAATGCTTCTTCTGGTAACAGCCACTCTCTTCCGCCTTTGTTCGTTCCTATCGTCTGGAAGTGCTGTGATCGGACCTTGTCGACGCATGCCATGTTGCGCTCCGGGTCGTACATGGCCAAGATATGGCCCTTTTGTGTGTGCGTGCGCTGCCACGAGAGGACGCCGTGCATGGCCCGGCGCGAGGCCTCGAGTGTGTCGAGCTGGAGATTCGTCTCATGACTTTCGAAGTCCTTCTCGCCGCGCTTAGGTAATGTGGGATGTGCGCTGTCTTGTGCTCTGAGTAATCATGTCAGCCATGCGATAAAAGATAGCCCAACATGTGAAGGCGTACGTGAGCTTGTCAAGCTTCAGGAAATCCTGCGCTTCCTCTGTGGGGTCGTAATCGGCGGCGTCAGGTACGCGCAAGTGCGACGCGTCTTCGTCTGCGTCGGCCATTGTTATGATATGTAAGTCGTAGCGGGCGTCATAAGTTGGGAGTTCGGTGGTGGTGGGGAAGATTTGGAGAAAGTAAAGTTGCGACAAGGATCCATGACTCCCGCGGCGGCCCTTTGCGCTAGCGCCGGCTCACATCTCGCCTATACTTCCCCTATCATCACCACACCTCCTACATGACATTCGAGCCTAGGAGGAATCCATCGACGCACATTGAGCGGTCTTCCTCGAGCCCGAGAGACAATACCAACAACAACAGTTTGTGTTAGACCAATAAGTCGACTACTTCCCGACGATTAGACTGTTCTAGGCATGCCAATAATGCGGAACGCCAGGAAAAGCTCAAAGAGCGGCATAGTGCAGTCGTCACATGCAGAATTTTGTGCATGGAGTCTAGATGCAAGGTTTATCTATATCCAGTCGTCGCGATAGAACGGCTCAACATGGGGTTGCCAAAGGTTGCATATCGCGTACAGCGTCTTTGCCAGCCTTGCGCCACTCCATCCCGCAATTTCAGGAACAGACAACCACGCTTCTACGGAGCATGTCACGGTTAACAGGCACCCATGCCCGTGCAATATACGCTACTGTTCGGGTCAGAAGGGCGCGAAGTGGCAGCCGTAACTATCACATCGGAAAATAATGGCACTCACTGGAAGCCCCGCGTCACGGGCGCATGGTTCGTCGAGCAAACTCATTGGAAGATATATTCCCATCCCCTTGATCTCATTTCTGGTCTCACACACAGTCTACGTTCAGTCAAATCATAACTCGAACATGGTACCACCTCCCACTCTTATGTTTCCGTCTCTGCACGAAGACGTCTCAAGCGCAGTATCACCACACATCACTTGGCTTACGTTCAACAACACAAACACCAGCGTAGGAACAAGCAAAGAGTATTCTACCTTTGTAATGGGTCAGTTCCGCTGTGACAACAACACGTGCGAAAAGGATTCATGGAGAAGCGGGAAGATCACGATACTCATACGGCAGTATCAGAACGGCAGCTACAACGCCGAGGTGTTCAAACAGCGCTGTAGTGAGTGCAGCTGGCGCGGAAGACTGATCATGGATGAGGCTTCTTATGTTGAGAGGGTTTCGTACAGGCTCCTGAAATGGAGCGGGGTGCAGCAGGAGGTGCAGTCTGAGCATGCGCCGAGGCAGACTCCACCACACGATCAAGCTAACTGCGAAGGGTGTAGGCGGGGTGTATGTCGGGAGTCTGAGAGATGAGGTAGTTGTAAGGAGTGGAGATATTCAATTTGTATGTAGTGCCTGAACTGCCGCTATAGCTAATCAAATCCATTGATCGAACGACACCAGAACCTTTGTCGCATCATCCCAAGTCTAGACAGCAGAGCTCACGGCCGCATCCCCCGCACCCGCCTTCCCCTTAGGCGCCTGCGCATCAAGCGGGACATTCAGCCCCAAGCGCTCCCTCGTAGTGTACGTCGCAATCCCACCGTTCGTATCGGCCTCCGTAACGAGCTCCTTGCGACGAGTATCAACCAACAAACGGATGAGATCAGGACGCATGTAGTGGCCCGAGAAGTCAGCCAGCGCTTTGGTGAGGTGGCACTCGTTGAGATCGATCTACGATATGTCAGTGGACCTATCAGGCTGGATTGGTGGTGAGGAGAGCTTACATCAACAAAGAGAAGACCATCAAAGTCCTTGTCGGGCTTGGAGTAGAGACTGCCATCAGGGCGGTAGATACGCGCATGGCCGTTGTAAGTCGAAGGGTCGGTCTCCGGTTCCACCCCCTCCGGCGTCGTCTTCTTCAGCCCCTCCACACTCAACCTCTGAAACGGCGCAAGCGTCCACGTCCCCGTCTCAATAGCATACGCCGGCGTAACAAGATCACTCGCCGGATCCGCCACATTCGTCGCCGGGTCAGGATATTTGAGCGTCTCTTTACCCGGGTAGACGGGCCAGGCGGCGATGTGGATCTGCTCGCCTTCGGACACGTTGAGCGCTTTGAGGAAGGGGTTCATGTTTTCCCAGCAGTTGAGCTGACCCAAGCGACCGAGTTCAGTGCTGGTGACGGACTTGAAGGTGTCGCCTGCGCCGTCGCCGTAGACGAGCTTCTCGACGTGGGTGGGCTTGATCTTGCGGCGGTGGTTGATGACTTCGCCTGTGGGATCGATTAGGGCCTGCGCGAGATACAGCGTTGCGTGGTCGATTTCGGAGAAGCCGAGGGAGACGTAGCTGTGCGGGATGTCAGTCAATCTAAGTCTCCAAATGCAGGATCACACCTGGGCAGTGCTTACATCTGGTTATCCCTCGCAGCGCGGCGAATCCGACGAAACTCTTCCGAGTCCATAGGCAAAGAGTTCTCACGGTACCCCTTGAGCATGGGAAGCGATTGCTGGTAGTTGACCTTCCACATCCAGTAGGGGTAGCCGGGGATCCATACTTCAGGGAAGGCGATGAGCTTGCAGCCTGCGTCGCCGGCTTCTTTGATGAAGTTGATGGTCTTTTGGACGCCGGCTTCGAGGTCGAACCAGCAGGGCTCGGATGTGACCTGTACTTTGATCAGATGGAGGGCGTAGGGGGAAAGTAAGGGTGGACACGTACACAGGCGGCTTTGTACTTGGTAAGAGGCATGGTGGCGAGATGGAGACTTTGCAGTGGTAGGTGTGTTTGGATAGTAGATGGAAGTTGAAACTGTGAAGGATGATGCCCAGAATCGAGAGCGTCCTCATCACCTCTTAAATACCCAAATCCCCTCCTCCAACCCCCTCCTCTCTGGTTACACAACAGTCTCCATACACCCTCACGCTCCATTCTAGACAACTCACTGTTTGTCAGAGTAGCGCCAGGAGCATCTTCCCTGCAACTGGGCCTGCAGCCGGTTAATTGACGTGCTTCTCCTCACATGGTGTCATCTGCCGATAACGAGATCGAATGAGAGCGACGAAGTCGAATGAGAGCACAGGAACACTCGCAACGACTGCACCAGACAATAGAATTGTGGACTGATGTTCAACATCGACGTCGATGCGTCGTTACAAGCGTTGATGCCGCAGATGCCGCGACCCAGTGTTAGCGGCATTGTGACGGCGCCGGTCGGCATCTCTCGCCGCGTTACGTCGTTGTACGATCCGAACGACGCCGTTAGTTGATGGAACGCGTGTTTGACTTTGATAGAAAGGCCGATGAGGAAGCGACAACTGTCCCTGTATCTGTCGGCGTATGGTCGTTTGCTGCTCGGAGATCGGGCACGTAATGCCGATGGATATCCGCAGACTTGGAGCTGTTGTTAAGAACATCGAAAACGACACGACCGAGAAAGATGACGAATTGAAGTTATACTAGTTTCTTCGCAGCTCCGTCTCCAGCACGAGGCCTATGCCTTGATGTTCGCTGGTTGCTTGTAGTATTTACTGGGAATGAAGGGCATCTTAGTCACGACAGCCTTCCTCTTCCTGCCACGCACAATGACCTCAACTTCAGTTCCTGCCTTGTGCATACCGTCCTTGACATAACCCATCGAGATATTCTTCTTCATGGTGGGCGAAGGGCAGCCAGAAGTGATGGTGCCAATCTTCTCACCGGCCCCGTCAACAATCTCAGCACCCTCTCGTGCAGGCGATCCTTCTACAATGAGCCCGACACGACGCCGTGACACACCACCGCCCTCGGACTTCTTCTTCAGTTGCTGCAAGATGACGGAATCACCGTGGAAGCCGCCTTTTGCGCGGCGGTCCTTACCGATGATCCAAGATAATCCGGCCTCGACTGGTGTGGTCGTGTCATCAAGATCGTGGCCGTACAAGCACATGCCCGCCTCTAGTCTGAGGGTGTCGCGCGCTCCTAGACCTGCGAAACGCAACTCATCCTTGGCGGAATCGAGCAGGAACTGGGTCACGGCTTCGGTGGCATATGCAGGAATGCTAATCTCGAACCCATCCTCACCCGTGTATCCACCCCTGCTGACGAGCACTTCGGCATCGGTGCCCTTGATGACGGCGTTGGCGCATTGACCGAAGTAGAGCGATTCGAGGTCCTTCTTGGACTTGTCGTCTAGTACGCGCGACAGGATCTCGGCGGACAGCGGGCCCTGGAGGGCGACCAGACCTTGGCCATCGAGTATGTTCCACTCTACGGGCTGGTCGGGGTGTGCATTCTTCCAGGCCTCTAGCTGCGTCTTGAAGTAGGCCGTGTCCTTTTCCCTGCAGCCGGCATTGGTGACGACGTAGAAGCGGTCGGGGAGACGCGTGACAACCGTGTCGTCGACGATGCCGCCGGTGGAGTGCAGCAGTGTTGACAGCGTGGACTGGCGCACGGGGAGCGACGACAGCGACGACGGGGTGATGCTCTCGAGGAAGGCTTCGGCGCCAGGCCCAGAAAAGTGGTGCTGGACCCTGACCGAATTAGCGCTGAACGTGATTGGGTATTGAATAACAGTATTCATGGGAATGAATATGGGTTCTTCGTCACTCAACTTACATGTGTCCAACGTCGAACAAGCTGGCCTTCTCGCGCGTCCAGTTGTGAGAGTCGATGATGCTCATGTCGCTGTACTGGACCGGCATGGCATATCCGCCAAAGGGCACAAACTTGGCGCCATACTTGCTGTGAAGTTCGTATAGGCCCGTCTTGCCCAGTTGCTCGTTTGCGCCTGCAGAGGAAGCATACCGGACCTGCTGCTGCGATAGTCGAGTGAGGTTGCGGGGACGTGGGGCTGGAGTCGCGCGCGTTCTTGTGGAGTAACTCGCGACCTGGGCGTATTCTGCCCTCCAAATGCGCGGCGCAAGACCATTGACGGCCGGGCGCATCGCCAGAGCAGCTTTTTTCGAGGCCATCTTGCGTGGGTGAGGAGGAATTCTGGTGTTTCGTTCCCCGACGGGTATACACGGCCGACTATATATCGCCAATGACGGCAGCTCCCAGCACCCTAGGCCCCGACGAGGCCCAAGCTCCCCCGACTGGATTCCATCCACCGAAACGGCCATCGTTCCCATAACTCTGTATATCGCGCCGCGACTGCCCCAGACGAACCGCAGCAACCATGTCCAAGGGGAGCAAGTACCTGCTGGTGTCGCTGCCGACGTCCATCTCGCCCTCGAACCACCAAGACGACGCCCTGACTGCCCTGCGCTCCACCGTGACCAATGACGTGGGCACCACCTCGCCCTTTGCCATACCCAACTTCAAGATCGGAACCCTCGATGCACTCGTCCAGCAGGCGGATGACCTCTCCAAGCTTAACAATGCCTGCGAGGCGGTAGTCGCCAAGGTCGGCGACAGCCTGAGGCAGATACTCGACGGCGACGAGGGCAAGATACAACAGCAGAAGACCATCAACGACAGTAGGTGGACTGCGCAGTATACGATTGTAGACCAGCAGCTCACATGACGTAGAGCCTGTCGACCAGTATCTGCGCAACTTCCAGTGGAACAAGGTCAAGTACCGGGCCGACAAGCCCATTGCAGACCTCATAGACTCTCTGCAGAAGGTGAACCTTACACACCTATCATGCTGTAGCTATGGCTGATAAGTACAGGAAATTCAAGGCATCGACAACGACGTCAAGTCCAAGTTCAGCCAGTACAACCAGACCAAGAGCGCCCTCCAAGCCGCCGAGCGCAAGCGCACAGGAAACCTCGCGACCAAGTCCCTCGTCAACGTCGTAAACCCCAAATCCATCGTCCGCGACTCGGAATACCTCGATACGCATCTCATCGCCGTCCCGAACAACAACGTAAAGGACTTCTACAAAGACTACGAGGAGCTGTGTCCGATGGTCGTGCCCCGCTCTGCCAACGAACTGGCCAAAGACTCAGAATTCACTCTGTTCGCTGTCACCACCTTCAAGAAGCATTCCAACGAGTTTGTGCACAAGTGCAGAGAAAAGCGGTGGACACCGAGAGAGTACCAGTACAAGGAGGGCAACAAGGAAGAGGAGGCCAAGGAGGCAGAACAATTAGCCAAGAACGAGAAGAAGCTCTGGGGCGAGGCGTTACGGCTGGGCCGCACAGGATATAGTGAAAGCGCCATGATCTGGATTCACGTCATGGCGTTGAGGGTGTTTGTCGAGACGGTGCTGCGATACGGTCTACCGCTCGACTTTGTATGCGGCATAGTCCAGGTGAGTTTGGCGTACCACGAAACCCACCACGTACCTGCTAACTTTCCCAGACCGATCCAAAGTCAGCGAAGAAGGCGAAGTCAAATCTCGATTCGGCTTACGCATACCTCGGCGGCAACGCCTTCGGCCGCGACAGCAAGGGTCGCATCCAGAAGGACGACCAGGCTCTGTCTACTGACATGGCACAAGCTGGTCAGATGGAGCAAGAGTACACGGCGTACGTGTACTACGAGTTTGAGGTGCTATAGGATGTTGTTGAAATGGCAACGACCGTTTGATGGGGGGGCAGCACGGCTGAGACTCATAGTTGGAGTTTGTAGATAGCTTTCCGCGAAAGCAGAATGAGAAACATGGCATATTTCATTTCCGTCCATGCTGATCAACGTGCAGCGCAAATTTGGGACAGTCTGCAAGTTGTCCACAACAATCACATTTTCCGATGGCTCACTCCAGAATCTGGACCGCTACATCCCCTTCCAACCAACCAATCCATTGGACATGGCCCAGATACTCCCCTCAGTTTCAGCGCCATACGCCCACTTCATAAATACTTTTCGATCAGCTGATATCTCAGCTGTGGTACCGGTAGAAACACGAGTTTGAACGCTTGGAAGAAGAGCGCATGCGATGAGGTGATGCTAGATTGAGTGAAGGAGTAGGTGTTGCGGAGTTAGCACTGTCAGATCCGATGTGGCTAGGGCGGTGGCAGAATCTTAGCGCGCCTGGCGTGAAAGTGCAACTTCTAGAAAAAAGTTACCCGCACCCAATCGCAATCTGACCAACACCGAATCGCCCACCATGCCGTCCACTCACAATGCGGAGAAGCCCTGGGATACCGATGACATCGACAAGTGGAAGGTACGTTTGCGCCGGAACTGCGCGCATGTAAAAGTTCATCTTTAACGCTCGCGCAGATCGAGCCCTTCAAGCCCGAAGACAACACGGCCGGCGCCTTCACCGACGAGTCCCGCTTCAGCACGCTTTTCCCCAAGTATCGCGAACAGTATCTGAAGGGATCATGGAAGTTTATCACGCAAGCGCTGCAGAAACAGGGTGTGGGCTGCGAGCTCAACTTGGTCGAGGGCTCCATGACGGTATGGACGACGCAAAAGACATACGACCCGGCGGCGATATTGAATGCGCGAGACCTGATCAAGCTACTTGCGCGAAGCGTGCCGGCGCCGCAAGCAGTCAAGATTCTGGAGGATGAGGTGGCCATGGACATTATCAAGATACGGAATTTGGTCGGAAACAAAGATCGCTTCGTCAAGAGGCGGCAGCGCATATTGGGGCCAAACGGATCGACGCTCAAGGCGCTGGAGTTGCTCACGGAGACATATCTGCTGGTGCAAGGAAACACAGTCGCGGCTATGGGTCCGTACAAAGGCCTCAAGCAGGTCCGGCGCATTGTCGAGGACACGATGCACAACATCCACCCCATTTACGCGATCAAGGAGCTCATGATCAAGAAGGAGCTCGCCAAGGTAGGCTCTACATGCACAAGCTATATGAGATACCCAGACTGACTTTCCCCAGGACCCCGAGCTAGTCAACGAGAGCTGGGACCGTTTCCTCCCCAACTTCAAGAAGCGCTCCCTCAGCAAACGCCGCGTACCCCACAAAGTCACCGACAAGACGAAGAAGACATACACACCGTTCCCGCCGCCGCAGGAGAAGAGCAAGGTCGACCTGCAGATCGAGAGCGGAGAATACTTCCTGGGCAAGCATGCCAAGGAGAGGAAGGTGCAGGAAGAGCGGGAAGACAAGATGAAGGACAAGATGGACGCAAAGCGGAAAGAGAGAATGGCAGAATACGTTGCGCCCGAGGAAGATGGCGGGGAGAAGAAAAAGAAGAAGCGGAAACGGGAAGAGGGCGAGGGTAAGGAGAAGAAGAAGAAGAAGCGCAGCTCCGAGGGCGAGGCTGCTTGAGATGTAATATGCGATGCGAGTTCGTGGCGGCAGTGTCGCGTTGCTGGATGTGGAGTATGGGCGCATTCCTTTCTTCTTGGGAGAACACCATAAAAGCATTGACAGGTGTTTAGGTTAGCTTGATAAGTTCAAATACCCAATTCTGTATTACTACCATTACGTCTCGCTCAATTGACGCTTCTTGCGCTCAAGTAAGCCTACGGCTTGGCGCTCCATACTTAGCGACACATGCCAAACGTCTTGCGTCTCATCCGCCAACATGCCATCTTACGCAACTCGACTTCGCACGCTCTTCATCATGTTAACACGAACCCATATTAACCGCCTGGTCAGTTCCCATGTGCCCTTACCGGAAATCCAAAATGCGGAGCCATCTCAATTTTATAGCACACGCTGCATGCGTTGGGTCTTCGACAATACCTTGGCATCAACAATGCCGGCAACAAAGTCCCCTCTACACCCTCTCTCTCCAAACCTCACTTGACGGATCCCAAGACTACGCATCCTGCTCCCCATCATCCCTTCTTCCAAACTCACAAACCAAGAAACAAAACTCACCCTACGCACCATGGTCCCACCAACCCCTCTGCACACCACATCTCTCGGGTATAAATGACACGCTCTGCATCTACACAGACGATACCTTCAGCCAAGGCCGCGGAATCTCAATCGTCACAACACCATCTCTAGCCCAGCAATTCGCCTCTTTACCCGCTTTCCTCAATCCCTCAGCCCTTGCTTCGGATAATGTCAACACACCAAGCGATGTCTACACCACAGCCCCCCTCCCCGGAAAAGGCATCGGCATGCTCGCCATCAAGCCCCTCAACTTCGGCGACGTGGTAACAAGGCACACCCCCGCTTTTATCGCATATCTAGAATCCGAGCTCTCGACGTTAGATCGCGAACAGCTTTGGCGGCTTGCGATCGAGCAGTTACCCAGAGATTTAAAAGAGAAGTTTCTGGGCTTGGCGACGGTATATGGGGATGAGAGGGTAAAGGTGCAGGATGTGGTTAAGGCGAATACGTTTCAGGTGGTGGTTGGGGGAGCGAATCATCTGGCGGTTTGGCCGGAGACGTCGAGATTGAATCATGCGTGTGCGCCGAAGTATGTTGTTCCTTTCACGCAAATTCATCAAGGGGAGACGAAGAGGAGAGAAACGGAGGGCATGCTGACGAGGCTGCAATAGTGCGCAATACGTCATCGACACCAACTTTTTGACGCACACGGTACGTGTTACACGACCGATTGCCACAGGCGAGGAGATCACCATATCATGTAAGCCCCCTCTCCTCTCCTCTTCGACAAGATTGCTCTAACCCCCACAGATACCTCACCCCTGGAACCAACATCCTCCCGCCAATCCCACCTCCAATCCGGCTTCCACTTCACATGCACCTGCCCGCGCTGCCTCTCCCCCTCCTCCGACGCCACCCTCTCCCACATCCAGCACCTCCAATCCCAACTCAACGACTGGACACCCACTTCCTCGGCTTCACCCGCCATGGCGGAAGGTCTACTGAGTATCTATCGCGGAGAAGGGCTTGAAGGGTTTCTGGACACGGCGTATGGTTTCGCGGCGTTGGCGTATAGTGCTGTTGGGGAGAAGGAGATGGCGGTGGAGTATGCAAGGAAGGCGAAGGAGGCGATTGAGATGAAGGATGGGGTTTGGACGGTGAATTGGAGGGTTTGGGAGGGGTTGATGAGGGATGTGGAGGGGCATTGGAGTTGGAGGCGAAGACTTTGAACGGCGTTGAAATAGAGTGAAAATGAAGCAAATCTG